GTACTCAGAATAAACCCTCGGACAGAGAATTATTCAATTCTATGTCTTTTGCACCCAACTTGGTGGATCTTGGCATTCTAGTAAAAAAAACCAAGTAGATTCTGCAAGCCTGAGATCTTCCTATCCCTCCTTTGCAATCCTAGATTTGGAGACTGGTTATGGTTACTCAGTGTTGTGAGTGAGAAGGTGCTCTTCTTTGGGTGACAAGGAAGTAACATTCAGCCTTCAATCGAAACACATCTGTTCCTCTCCAGGGCCAAGCTCTGAACAGGTTTGAAACTGAAACCAGCTGCTTGCATGATGCTGTTTCTGTCCTGTCCTCTGCCCTGCCCCCTGCTGTGATGCCACCAGGAAACCACCCCTACCCAACTCCCTCAAGCAGTTTCGCACATGTAAAAATAAGTGTCTTTGTTGTCATTGCATAATTAAGGCAATGAATGCTCACACAAGCCTACACACATGAATATTCATGTGATTTTTTTTTTTTAATTAAAGTATGGACATGCCAACTGAAGCATAGGGGAAAGGGCCAAATCTGACACCGAGCCAATTCACTGCTATGCATATTGGTAATTTCCATTGAAACCCAGGTACAGCGACATTCTCTTGAGTTACCGGTACCTTTTTATGTTATGCCTGTCTTCATCCCATATTACTTATTTGTTAAATGTATATTGCACCCTTCCTTCCAAAGCTGGCCAGGATGGCAAACATCAAGCGATAAAACAATGAGAATGTATTAAAGAACATTTTCAAGAACGATTCCAATGTACTTGCAGACGGGGAAATATATTGGTTTAAAAGGCTTGTTGTTCAAAGAGGAAAGTTTTTAAGTAGGCACCTAATAGACCACAACATTAAAGGACCTCCTGATAAGGTGGTATCTGCAGGAGGCCCTCACTGGCAGCGATCGATTGGCTGTATAAAGGGTTTGGGCGTTTGAGGGATTAAGATACATTCCATGGTGGAACCCCAGCACTGAAGACTGATCAAAGGGCTTCACCCCTGGATCAAGACTCTATGGGAGAAATTTAGTGCGGCTTGCTGTTAGTTGCAGTGAGTCACATTCTGGACGGTACTAGGATTTTTGGGAAATGGGATTTGTCTCTCCCCCCTCCCTCTGTTAGTTCCCTGCCTGAATTTTTTTGGCAAAACTGCACAGTACCCTATAAAGAGCCTCATAAGGGTCTGCATGCAGAGGAGGCTTTGCAGGATAAAGGCATTGCAGAGGATATGGAGGCACATTTAAGGCACGACAACTGCTCCAATAACCAGAAAGCCCATCTTGATGGGAGTTGGAACGGAAGCCTGGCTGGGAATCCAGTTGCTCGCCAACCCCTCCTTCGTGTTCTTTCGTTAAACAGCTCTGGTTGACTCTTTGCAACTGTGAGTCATTTAAAGAAGGGCTTTTTTGTCTGCACGACTGGACAGCCTTCCCGTCTGCTGCAAAGGAATTTCATATTCCACCGCCCCCCCCTCTTCCAAATAGCTCCAGGTCTGTAGCAGTTTATTGCACAAACAGCCCCACACTCTTGTCTTACATTGGGGGGGGGTGGAGGAAGAGAGAAGAGAGGAATCCACCCAGTGCAGATCAAACCTCTCCCCTTTTCTCCCTTCCCCCTGGCAGCTGGGATTCTTAATGTGTTAAGCAGGCTGCTGCTCTGCTGAGGGACAAATCTCCATTTCAAAGCCCGTGTGTCAACTTTAAGTGGGAACACACAAATGTCCTGTGCAACTCCTTTTGGGGGCATGGGAGGGAGTGATCATTCCACAGAGAGAGAGAGAGACAGAGAGAGAATGTGAAATGAGTTTTTAAAGCAAGGTGGGGAATCTGGCAAAGGCTATGCCCTTTCTGAGTGTAGGGTAGCAAACTTTTATTTCCAACAGATTCAGCATCCCCAAATTGGAATTGCAAGCAAAAAATGGTTAGGGTGAGCAAGGAGAGGTTGGGAGAGGGTTTCTGCTGAGCTCCAAGTTATGTATGCACTTAGCAAGGGGCCAGGGGAAAAGGGGAAGAGGTGGGAGAAAAGAAAAGTTTTCAGGCCTTTTGTTAAAACACACACACATACACACAGAGGCACCCGCCTGATATAAACTGTCTTGACATTAGATGGTCTTGTTTTTCTAGGCTTACAAAACCAGAAGGATTAAATTAAGAGCAAAATGGGGAGAGGGGGAGAGAGTTAAACTCCTGGCCTCGGCATTTCTTGGCAGAGCAAGGCCGCTCTCCACTCCCTGCCTCGGGTCCACGTTGCACGTCGTTCTGTCCACAGAGCTCGGAAAGAGGGGTGCAAAAAGTTTGGGTGTAGTCCCTTCTTGTGTGGGGCGAGCGGCTGAGGTACCTTTGCCAAAAGAGAGGAAACTAATGAGATCCATCTGTCGGTGCTTTTGCAAGATTCATAAGACAGGTCTGAGAGTTGGAGCGGGGCGGGGAGGGAGAGAATGCTGGAATATGAGCCATGCAGAAAAACTTTCGGCAAATGCGATTCTTACCAAACAAAACAAAAACAAAACAGAAAAGAGGCCCTGGCAGCAGAACTAAGGGCTCAGTCCCATGGGGTAGCAGTTGGTGATGACGCTGTGGCCGACTCGAGAGTTGTGCTCTTGTGTCACTGAAGTCACCTGGAAAGGAAGGAGGAATTCCAAAACTGGGTCACATAAATAAAGTGGCGGCAAGGGGGTGTGTGGCGGAGAGAGAAAGTTCACACACTTCTTCTGTTCAAGAAAAGAGAAAGTTTAAAAGGCCATTTGTCGCCGAAAGCTCTAAGTCCATTTTCCCCCCTCTTGTCAATTTTGGAGTCAGTAGAAAGAACTCCATTTCTCTTTCTCTCTCTCCTTTTTTTTTTTTTAACTTCCCAAATCACCAGTTGTCGTGGAAAAAAATAATCCAGTGGGAGTAGCAAAAGAGCCACTCTTAAGTGGCGACAAGGGGGTGGTAGCGGGGCTGGCATGCTCCCTGGCAGGCTGCATTCAGACACCAAGAGGAAAATCCCATTCAACTTCTTTTTTTAAATTAGACCAGATGGAATTTGCTCCTCCTCTATCTAGCTGGATTGCTTTGATACTGGACACATGTTTGCAGCCTTCCAAACGTCCATCTGGTTTGCTTTAGTGGCCCTCTGACTTTTGGCTTTAAACCACACTCGCTTCTCTGATGGAAGAGGATGCGTGTGTCTGGGGTGGGTGGGTGCGTTCTGGAGGCTCTCTTTTCCGCCCTCATTCTGTTAAGGAGGCTTAAAATGTGGAATGCAAAGTTGTACACTCTTTCTCTCTCTTTCTTTCCCACTCCATTCCTTGCTGCAATGCTATACAACTCTCTCTCTCTGCCCCCCCCCCCATCTTTTTTGGGAAACACACCAGTCCCATAATCCACAGGACCAGTAAGTTGCTTCCTCCAGGAACATTTTGGTGCAAAAGAAAATGCAAAACTATTTATTTCTATCCGTTACCTTTTTAAAAGCCAACTAAGTGACACAAAGAAACAGCAACAACACGAGTCCTCTTTCAAGAGTCACAATTCTACCACAAAATGCTGGAAAAGGATTTGGGTGGGGATGATGTATGTGCTCCCTCCTGCCACCGAGAAATTAAACTGAATTGAAGGTGGGAAGATTTATTTCATGCCCCCCCTCCACTTTTCTGAATATTCGTGCTGGTGACAGTGGGATTCTCCCTGCTTCCAAGTTTTACCCTTTAGTGTACTGCTTCTGCTTTAAAGAGATATATTACTAGAGGTGTTGTGTTATCATCTCACAAGCATGGGTGGAATTTTCTAGCTGATTTCTGGTTAGGATCAGAGTGACTTCTATAAAGCCTTTTTAGGAGCTTACTTTAAATACAAAAATGACCTTTTGTGTATATGTGTGTCGCTAGGACTGAATTTTGATTATTGCCAAATCATCAGAATTCCATTTAGAAATTTAAAAGAGGGATAATGGTTGGCGGGAGGCAAAGACATTTAAGTAATTCATTAGAAGCTTTTAAAAAAGACGTTAACTGTTTTTAAAATACAGGAATTAATTTTCCGCTTGAGAGAACTGAAATTTAGGCTGCAGTTTACTTCAGTGCAAGAACCACTGAACTTAGTGGGACTTATTTCTGAGCAAAAAGCTCAAAAGATTGGGCTGCTGTTATATGTATGTTTTCACTGTTATGACAAAGGGCACCGGAACCCCTAATAGATTTACTTGGAGCGGGAAAGAGAACAATGAGGTGGCAATTAAATCTTTTCAAGAAGTTACATAACATTCAGCAAAATGCATGTGTAGGCAATTGTCACATATGATTATCTGCACATGGTCATCCTTTTTTTCTAGAAAGTGCTGTTTGATTACGAATTCTAACACGTGCATCAACGCACATAGATTTCAGTGGAAGCCTTGGGCTGTGGTCTCACAAACATTTTTGGAAATCCATTCTATCAAAAAAATCAGCAGAACTTACTTCCAAACAAATTAGTTAATGCCGTGAATGCTACAACATTTCCACCAGACACACCACTCTTTTACTGAACAAAAAACACAAACCTGATACTTCCTCATAAAGTCACTTAAGAACCTGTCCAAATATTTTTGAATTTTTTGAGTGCTGGCAAGGGAGGTGGGGAAGGAGTAATAGCATACCCCCACCCCCCCCAAAAAAGACAAAAAATTGAGTCAAAATATAAATTTCTCTCTCTGCCGAATTTCTGGTAACGTAGGGTACCAGTTCTCAAAAGTTAAATAAATGCCTTGTCAATATATATATATATATATATATTGGGGGGTTCTCCTTGAAAACTTTATAAAATGTCATCAAGCACTTTCCAGTGTCCCTTTCTAAAAAGGTTATTTCTTTAAGAAAAAAAACAGATCCATCCCTTTGGCAAGCAGGCATTGTGTGCTGGTCTGTGAAGTATGCATTGCAGCATTTAACTGCTTTATAGAATTTGACTGAGGGACATCTCGCCAACAGATTGCTTTTGAAGCTGCTGCTGTTTCTGAAAAAAACTCAAAACTGAATTTGCAAAGAACAAGTCTGTTTAATACAGGAAATGTAGTTTTTAAAAAGACACCTTTTGTACAAAACATCTAAAAGGGGGGGGGAATAGAAATGTACAAATGCAACAGAAAAAAGAACTCTGCAGCTTAAGGCAGGAGGGAGAGGGGAACCCTTTTCTTGCAGCAGATTTCTTTCTTTAGCAGAAATCACCATAAGGAGATCCGCACAGCCAGGGCCCAATTTTCAGCAAAGGACTCACATCCCACCCCCACCGGCACTGTGTTTTCATAGATGCAGAAAGTTACTTGCAAACCTTCAGAAGCGGAGAGGAAAAAATGAGAGAGATGGGAGAAGTCTTCCTGGATCCGTACCAAAAAAACTGTAGTCTCCAAAGGGGAGTTGGTGGGCGATGTGTTTTTGCAGGGGTGGGGGAGCAATTCCAAGCCTGGCTCTTCAGAAAAGTTTAAGCGAGAATGTCCTATTAAGGGGCCAACCCAAACAGCAGGCAGTCCTCATGGCTCCATGGAGAGGGAGGGGTGATGATGGTATGGCAAAGGCAAAGGGGGAAAATATATATAGTACCCAAAGAAAGGGGGGGGGAGAGAAGAATATGGGTGACCATTTCCTTTCTTTGACCCTCTCCCTATGTTTCTGGGTCCTTGCTGGCATTCTCTCTCGCTCTTTTTTTTAAATAGAAATATATAATTAAATTTACAAATGCTATTTACAATTTTAATTACAAAAGACACCCTTTAATAGTTAATAAAAACCTAAAGCAAAAAAAAAAGTTTTAATTAAAAGGAGACAGTTTTAAATACTTCGGTCTCTCTCCCTCGTTCTTTTCCTCCCGTGCCTCCGCGTTTTCTCTCGAGATTGTCAAAAGGAAGGTCTCGGCTCTGTGCAACAGGACTTCCTAAATTCCAGAGAGAGGCTCCCCCTCCCTGCAAAAAAAAACAAAACCCCATACCCCCCACAGAGCACATCCGGGGTGGGGGCCCTCTGTTTTTCCCCACAATTGTTTCAAAGTTTGGGGCCGGCAAACCAAGTCTCTCTCTCCTTCCCCCACCTCTCGATATCCCCCTTTTTAAACGGTCGTCTCCCCGTGTTTGCTGTTAGTTAGCCTGGTATAGAATTTCCTCCAGGAGTGCAGGGTTTTGCCCGACCAGATCCAGAACCCTGAGGTGATGCCCACGATGAGCGTCATGAGATACTTGATCATGTAGACGGTGAAGTCGGGGTTCATCCGCGGGGTGTACTGGAGCGGGCAGGGGATGGCCAGGCTCTTGCAGTTCTGGCTGATCCAACTGCGCTCCCAGTGCTCGCGGAAGGCCTGCTCATAGAAGTAGCAGGCGATGACGATGGTGGCCGGGACGGTGTAGAGCACGCTGAAGACGCCGATGCGCACCATCAGGCGCTCCAGCTTCTCCGTCTTGGTGCCTCCGTGCTTCATGATGGTCCGGATGCGGAAGAGGGAGACGAAGCCCGCCAGCAGGAAGGAGGTGCCGATGAAGAGGTAGACGAAGAGCGGCGCCAGCACGAAGCCGCGCAGGGGGTCGATGTTGTTGAGGCCCACGAAGCAGACGCCGCTGAGCAGGTCCCCGTCAATCTGCCCCATGGCCAGGATGGTGATGGTCTTGACGGCCGGCACGGCCCAGGCGGCCAAGTGGAAGTACTGTGAGTTGGCCTCGATGGCCTCGTGGCCCCACTTCATGCCGGCCGCCAGGAACCAGGTGAGCGAGAGGATGACCCACCAGATGGAGCTGGCCATGCTGAAGAAGTAGAGCATCATGAAGAGGATGGTGCAGCCTTCCTTCTTGGTGCCCTGCACCACCGTGCGGTAGCCGTCATCCTGGAAGCGCTCGTTGCACACCACCCGCTCCTCCAGCACGAAGCCGGCGATGTACGCCACGGACACCATGGTGTAGCAGCCCGAGAGGAAGATGATGGGCCTCTCCGGGTAGCGGAAGCGCTGCATGTCCACCAGGTAGGTGGTGACGGTGAAGAAGGTGGAGGCGCAGCACAGCACCGACCAGATGAGGATCCAGATGCGGGCAAAGCGGATCTCCTCCTGGTTGAAGAACATGTGCCCGTCGGGCTTGGCCGGCTCGCAGGGCGCAGCACAGTCCTTCTCGCCCAGGAACTTGTAGTTGAGGTAGCTGGGCACCTTGAGCACGCGGGGGCAGTGGAAGGGGTGCTCCAGGGTGGCGTAGCGGGGGTGGCCCACCGTGCCTTGACCGGCGATGGGGGTGGCGCTGGTGAGCAGCGCGGGCGAGCCGCCTTCCTCCGAGTGGTTTTGCCCCACGCAGATCTGCTCCGCGCCGTGGCGGGGGAAGTTCTCGCAGCGCAGCCTCTCGGGCCACTGGAAGCCGAACTTGTTCATGAGCGCCTCGCAGCCCTGGCGCGCCCGCTCGCAGATGGAGCGGCAGGGCGGGATGGCCTGCTCCAGGACGGTGCAGACGGGCGCGTACATGGAGCACAGGAAGAACTTGAGCTCCGGCGAGCACTGCACTTTCACCAGCGGGTAGAACTGGTGCACCTCCAAACCAGCGTCCTCTTGGCTCGTGTGCCCCAGCAAGTTGGGCATGATCGTCTGGTTGTAGGCAATGTCGGTGCACAGAGGGATGGAGATCGGCTGGCAGAAGCCGTGGTCGGGGATCGAAATGCCCTTCTCCCCATGGAACTGGGCCCGGCAGGAGCCCAGCAGCAGCAGCAGCAACAGCGGCGGCGGCGGCGCCAGGCAGCGAGCCAAGGACGCGTCGGCAAGGCGCATGGTGGCTCTCTCCCCCCCTCGGTTCTCACCGACACCCGATCGCCTCGTCTCCTCCCCAGGACGAGCTGGGATCTGTCACTCCCTCGGGGGACACAGGTCCTGGCAAAAGTTTCCGAGTTGGTTTTCTGCGGGGGGGGGTGAAGAGGGGGGATCCGCCTGGGAGATCCAGGGGAGCAACTCCACTCACCCAGCGGGAAACTTCCTTGCTGTGCGTCTCTCCGAGCGCCTTTCGCGTCCCTTTGTGTCTTCGCTCCCCAATTAGTCCGTTTCAAAGGAGGGCCCCCGGGCTGAGCTGCGCTTCGCCCAGCCTTCTCCTCTTTCTCCTCCCAACTTAATCAATTCCAGTCCGGCCCCCTCTCTTCCTTTTCCCCCTTCCCAGCGCCATCAAAGAGACCTTGGCTGCCTAAGCCCCTTCCCAAAATTTCCTCTCGCCCAATCAGATTCAAAATCAGGGACCAGCCCTCCTCCCCCCTCCCTCCCTTCCCAGGATTGGTCAATCGCGGAAGGGGAAAAAAATTAACGAGATCACGAATCAGATGCCAAAAACCTCTCTCTCCGCCTCCCCCCGCGCCTGCTCAGTCACGAGCCTGTGGCTGCTTTTAAGGAGAAATAATTTACCTTCGATGATGATTATTCACCTCCCGCCACAATTATAATTATTAGCAGGCAGATTATCTTGGTTGTGCGGGCAGCACAACTACTCCCCCCCCACTTTCCGATTCTTAATAGGCAAAGTGCAGAGCGCCGCCTCTCCCTTCTCTGCAAACAATTTCCAGTCAAAACACACAGAAAACTGCCGGAGTGAGTTGCATGTTTATCCACACATCCTGTTGCCTCTTTCTCGCCAATCTCCCTGCCTCCAGTTCCACACATTTCCACACAAGAGATGGAAAAAAAGTTCATGAAAGTCCCTGCTTCCTGGGTACTGTATTTCATTATTAACTTTTTTTAAAAAATGGTTGAGACCACCTCAAGCCAGCCATTTCACCCAGAAGTTGTGCCTGGTGTTTGGGAAGTTGGAGGCAATTAATGCTCTTTGCTGGTGCTCAGAGGCAGCCTTGTATGTATTACAGTGGTACCTCAGGTTACAGACGCTTCAGGTTACAGACTCCGCTAACCCAGAAATAGTACCTCAGGTTAAGAACTTTGCTTCAGGATGAGAACAGAAATCGCGGCAGCAGCAGGAGGCCCCATTAGCTAAAGTGGTACCTCAGGTTAAGAACAGTTTCAGGTTAAGAACGGACTTCCAGAAGAATTAAGTTCTTAACCCGAGGTACCACTGTATTAGGTTATACATTGTTGCTCTATATATCACTAAGTTGGGAACAAGGTGTGGGAGTGAGCCCTTCAGTTTAGACCTAATGCATGACCTTGTTGGAAAGGAATATTTTCCCAACACAATGTCTGATTGTACTCAGTCTTGGGAGGGAGGTGGGGTTGCCTTCCCTTCTTAGGCTCAGAGCAAAATCTAGAGCAGCAATGGGGTCCCCCGGGTCCTCCAGATGTTGCTTGAGGACAGCTCCCATCAACCCTGATCATTTGTCACATTGGCCAATGGGAGCTGGGGCATCAGCATGCGGAATGCCACCTGTGATTCTAGATAGTGGAAGGTGCCATGTTGCAGCCCCCCCCCAAAAAAAATTATATTGAAAAGATCTAGTGGCTGTATTTGGCTCATGTTTATCCTAGTTCAGGGGACCAAAAGACTTCCTCCCTTTCTCCCCAAAGACCTGGGACTTTTGGAAGTTATGATTTTCCTCTATAAGTGTGTGGACCGATTCACTTGCTCAGATCATCTGATGGCATTTGCTCTGCAGTCCCCATTCTGATGGGCAATTGCTCTCCACTTCTGACACATGAAAGACTGATCTGGTTTTTGTCTGTAGTTTGGTGGGTGAGCCTGCTTTTAAGGCAGAGAACTGAATTTTCTGGCATTGGAAGGGCTCTGAATCTATATAGAAGCTTCCAGACAATCTGTTTATTGACCATTCATAGAATCGTAGAATTGCAGAGTTGGAAGGGACCTCAAGGGTCATCTAGTCCAACCCCCTGCAACACAGGAATCATTCATCCTTATTTTTTTTGCAGGGAGATTAGATAATATTAGTTATTTAACGGCGATTCATAGAATCATAGAATCATAGAGTTGGAAGAGACCACAAGGGCCATCGAGTCCAACCCCCTGCCAAGCAGGAAACCATTATGGATCTGTTTGCAGGGGAGGTTAGAGGATGTCATGTCTAACCAAGCATTATCCCACAATTCCAGTACATTTTACCATCACTTCCCTTACTGCAGAAAATCCCAGATCTTTTTGGGAAGAGAGTCTGTTACACAGGACCTCTCATTCAGTGTAAATGTGCGGTCTGAATTTTCCTGTATGCAATTGAATCCCACCCCAAATAGTGACACACTGGAAGCACCCCATGAATTCCAAATATTACATTTGCAGAATAGCTGGACAGCAGCCCAATTCATAGCTAAGCTAAAGGACTTAGATGCAAACCAATTTAGCTTTGATGGAAATAAGTTAGATTATAGTCAAGTACTTTGGCTTAATATGGACCCACAAAGGAAAATGTAGGGCCCCTCCAGATGACCTATTTGCTTGTACGAAAGCTTACGTGGAAGTTAGATTATATCTGGCCCTCAACAAATGCTTCCAGGGTGTTCCAGCATCTTCTTAGTTCATCCCACGCTTTTCAATGCATTTCCCGTTCACCTGTCAAACTGCAAAAGGTCCTTATGTTTTTTTACAAGTGGATTTGCTGCACTAGGGCCAGAATGCTTTGAATTCATTTGAAATGCGCAAGCCTACAGTTCTGGTGTGCCACTGAATCCCTCCCACAAAATACTGAAAGCCCCTCCAGACTGGTGTTGTTTTTTTGAGAGTGCATTCTGCAACATATTAATGACACTATAATAGTGCATTCATGCTGGATATATAATGGACTGTTCACACGTTTCCCTTTATGAGCTGTTCTGTGGTGCTTCCGCAATGTTACAGCCTTACTGCCATCTGGAGGGGCATCCTTGTGCGATAAGTGGCACCAAACAACAACACCCCACCCCGGAAGATTTGTCGTGTGAAGTTACAGGATTTCAACAGGAAGCTATGGTACATGCACTAATTGCAAATGAAGCAGTATGTCCACCCCAAATCTCCTCTGCATCCAGGAGTTGTAGGCCCGTGAGACAGTGTTCCAGGCATCCATGCAGCGGTCATGCACATCAGAACACATTTCTGCTCGGAGTTGTTGAGAGATCTTCTAATGCACTTCAGGAAACATTTTCCCGTCATCCTCTGCAGCAGCTCCTGCGCATTTGCCCCAGTAATCCGCACCTTGACCTACTCCATCAGCACCCCAGGGTTCATCAGCCACTAGACGAGAAGTCCCCGTTGTCCGACTCCATGCCCATCACAGGCCTGCCAGCAGGGGCATTGTTAATGAGAAGTTTCAGAGGACCCAAGACGTTTGGGGATGAGCAAGCAGGTTACATCTCTGGTCTCCAAAGCACATAGAGAACTGTAATAATCTACGGATCCAGCTATATAACGGATGATGGATTAAGATGACACCATCTGAACCAATTAAGTATAAGTTCTCCCATCCTTGCCACACTGTGACAGGAAATGGTATGCCTGCTGGTGGCTTCATCATCATCATCATCATCTAGATTTCTTAACTGCCTTTCGCCATGAGGTCCCAGGGAGGCTTACAACAGTCTAAGAAACAGTATTAAAAACATTTATCAGTTTTGTCTATGCCGACTCCTTAGAAGGAGAGGAAGTACAACGCCTAATCAATTCATGGAATTTGCTTCTTCAGGATGCTGGGAATAGCTTTTTAGACATCTTGACAGAGGGACTGTGAAAGCCAAGTGGAACCCACAATGGAGAGGAGGATCAACAGCTGTTAAGTCATGACCACTCAGAACAGAATTTCTATGGTCCAAGGCAGTATACCTTTGATTATCAGATCAGATAGGAACATAAGAGTCTGTCTTACACCTTCATCCATCTAACTTAGTCTTATCTACACTGATTGGCATCAGCTCTCCAGAATTCCAGAAGGGAGTCTTCCCCAGCTCTTTTTGTAGCACGTAGGGGTTGAACCTGTGCACTGCCATCAAGCGGCAGTCATTCCTTAATAGAAGTAACAGGGAAAGAGCTAGTGTGATGTTGGACTGGGACCCAGAAGATCAGAGTCTAAGTCCCCACCCAGCCATGAAGCTCACAGGGTGACCCTGGCCTGCAGCAGTCACAGTCTCTCAGCCTAGCCTACCTGAGCCTTCTTTTTGTGAACTTAAAATGAGGAAAGAGAAGAACTATGTAAACCACCTTGAGCACCTTAGATGAAAGGGGGAGATAGATGTGTAATAAATAAATGAAAGATAGCATATATTGGCTGAGATGGTCCTTTGGTCTTTTCCAGCAAAGGAATCCTTCTGTTCTCTCTCTCTCTCTCTCTCTCTCTCTCTCACACACACACACACACACACACACCTGGGGCACAACCGTAAATCACAGTGTATATGTTTGCAGTACTGGTGGGCCAAAAACAGACAGCGAGGAAAGCAAAGGTAAAGACTTAAGGCTGTGTTTGCATTCCCATTTACTCTGCACCCAGTGTGTTTCCACTGCTGGTTTGGGGAAGCAATGTACATACGACGGTAGCCGCCATCCATAGTTTCTTTTACTGCGCTTTGATGTGTGTGTGCCCCCCCCCCAGCTTCGATTGGAATTGAGAAAAATAATGACCTAGCTGCCTTCTAAGCTGGTAATGTGTACACAGCGTAAGATGCAACAGTGAGAGCAGCAGCAAAGGGAGACACACCCACACCCAATTCCAAATATGCTGAGAGCACTCACAAGCATTGCACAGCCAGACCGATGGTTACCCAGCGGAGTCCTCTACTCCCTCTTGGGGGAATGCAAAAGTCTACAGAAGGATTCTGTGCAACTCCCAAATGTATTTTAAAGAGATCGGCTGGTCCAGTAATAATTATACAGAGATTTCCCCCACCCAAAGAGATAAAGATCCTCTTGAAAGTGTCTCTCCTCCCTCCCCCACCTAAGCTGAAAGCCTCCATCTTTCTGTGAGCTGGGAGACCTCTTAAAGGGACCCCTTTAATAGCTAGGTTGCTCCTTGTTTATAATTGCCCCTTTTCATGAACAAAGAAATGCATTATGGCCCCCTTTTCTTTAATGGCACCTCAAAGCAAGAACATTCTTTAACATGTTGTTGTGAGAGTTTGTTTGGGGAGAGGGAGAAATTTAGGATTGGCAGAGGAGGTCTTAATTATGCAACATGTAGGGGCCATTAACAAGCAGACCTTAAAGCAAAGTTCATTACATTTTAATTGATTATAATTGTATGTTGGGATCCTCCCATACTTATGGGATGTGCTGGGTGGGTGCAAATTTGATTTCTATGTCAGTTCTGGTAGGAAATGAATGCTGGACTGGGGGAAAACACCATTTATTAAAACAACTGTTTGATACTTATTTTAAATCCTGCATCAAATTTACATGTTCTTGTATACGTTGGGATGAAGTGACACTGAAAAGGTGTGGAAGTCTTATTTTATTCTACTGAAATGCTTTAACTTTGTTTATTTTCACATTACAGAAAGATGGAATCATCAAGCAAGGCTGGCTGGTCATTAACTACATAATCTCCTTAAATTGTTCCTTAAGATAAACTTAAGACACTGGCTTGGAACCAGAGTCAAGCTGCAGTCCACTTACCCGAGAATTCAAAAGTACTTATTTCTGAGCATCTGTGGTTAGGATTTTACTGCAAATAACTTGAATTTAGGGTGTCATACACCACCACCCCTTCATGGGGCAGCAGGGCCATTGCTGCATCCACAGGCCTGGGGGTGGGCAAGACAATGAGAAGGGGCTAAGTCCATAGAGCTGTACTGCTGATAGGCAGATACTCAGACAATAGAAATACAATCGGTAGAGAGGGCTCTGTGTGATGTCATTTCCCCTGCCTCTTCTAGACAGAAAGGAGCATACAGTACTTCCTGTTCCCCTCTCTCTCCCTTTGACCATTGTTGGATTCAAACATGCCTCCCCTTGATCCAACTTTAGGCACATGCCCACACCCTCCCAAGTGTCCCTATTTTCCAGAGACGTCCCTGATTTAGAGAAGCCGTCCTGGTTTCTTATTTGATCCCGGAATGTCCCACTTTTCCTTAGGAAGTCCCAAATTTCATTGGAGAAATGTTGGAGGGTATGGAGTTTTCCAACCCCTGAGCTATCTGAAGGCAACCTGGTACCTCAGGTTACATACGCTTCAGGTTACATACACTTTAGGTTACAGACTCCGCTAACCCAGAAATAGTACCTCAGGTTAAGAACTTTGCTTCAGGATAAGAACAGAAATTGTGCTCCGGCGGCGTGGCGGTGGCAGGAGACCCATTAGCTAAAGTGGTGCTTCAGGTTAAGAACAGTTTCAGGTTAAGAACGGACCTCCAGAACAAATTAAGTACTTAACCTGAGGTACCACTTTATAGGGAAGTTTTTTTTTAAATGTTAAATGTTTTGTTATTTTTTTTTTAATGTTGGAAGCTGCCCAGAGTGGCTGGGGCAATCCAGTAAGATATGTGGGGTATAAATAGTAAAATTATCATTATGGAATGGGACCTCCCTATTTTCATCAGAGAAATGTTGGAGGGTATGCTTGCCTGAAGCTGGTTATACTATAAATATAGGTATTTTGCCTGCATAGTTTTTACTGCTGCCATTACTGCGAACCAGTGTACAATTATAAGTAAATTATATTTTTTAACTTACTTCCCAAGTTGTTCCCTGATTCTTTATTAGGCTGGGTAAGAAGGGAGAAGCCAAGAGTACTGTGTTAACTGGACTTGCTCAAAACAGAGTTTTGCAGCCTGATTCTTAGGCTTTTAATTTTGCTGACAAAGGATGGGATTTTAAAAACTGTTCAGCTCTCACACATGGGTACCTGGAGTGATAAATTGCAAATCCTCTCCTACCCATTAGAACCCATCCCACAGTCATTGCAGTGAAGCTGGTCCCTAAGGATACCATAGCTCATCCTACTGAAAGCCACCAAGAGGTCAAGGAGAATTAAAGAGGGTCACATCCTCGCTGCCCTGCATTCCGACATAGGACAATCAGTGGCCTAGTCATCTACTACCTGACTCAATCTGTACATCACACATAAGAAGAGTCCTGCTGGATCAGGCCAAGGGCCCATCTGGTCCAGCACCCTGTTCTCACAGGGGCCAACCAGATGCCTACGGAAAACAGGCAAGCAGAACATGGGTGCAACAGTGCAATTCACTCACCAGCGATTTCCGGTGACTGGCATTATAAAATACAGTGGTACCTCGGGTTAAGTACCGTATTTTTTGCTCTATAAGACTCACTTTTTCCCTCCTAAAAAGTAAGGGGAGATATGTGTGTGCGTCTTATGGAGCGAATGCAGGCTGCGCAGCTATCCCAGAAGCCAGAACAGCAAGAGGGATCGCTGCTTTCACTGCGCAGCGATCCCTCTTGCTGTTCTGGCTTCTGAATATATTTTTTTTCTTGTTTTCCTCCTCCAAAAACTAGGTGCGTCTTGTGGTCTGGTGCGTCTTATAGAGCGAAAAATACGGTGCTTAATTCGTTCTGGAGGTCCATTCTTAACCTGAAACTGTTCTTAACCTGAAGCACCACTTTAGCTAATGGGGCCTCCTCCTGCTGCTGCTGCGCCGCCGGAGCACGATTGCTGTTCTCATCCTGAAGCAAAGTTCTTAACCTGAAGCACTATTTCTGGGTTAGTGGAGTGTGCAACCTGAAGCGTATGTAACCTGAGGTACCACGCTACTGCCTCTGACAGTGGAGGGAGAACACAGCCGTCCTGGCTAGCACCCACGGATAGCCTTAACCTCCACGAATTTGTCTAATCCTCTTTGAAAGCCACCCATGATGGTGGCCATCACTGCCTTGTGGGGAGGCTACCTTTCTCGTGTGTGTGTGTGTGTGTGTGTGTGTGTGTGTGTTCAACTGCCACCACCCAAAAAATACTGTTTTCCCCTCCCCTTCTTGCTGCAAGGAATCTTTTCTCCCCACCCCCATCTTGTGCTTCTGGGGAATGTGGTATGTGTAACAGGACCAAGCCATCTGCCTTCCTGACACGAGGTGGCCTTTCTTTCTGAACAACTGACCCTAACCCTTTCTTCCCTTATCTCTCTCCCCTTCTCCGCTGCCAACTTAACCTCCTCTCTTCCCTCCTCCTCCCCCTCCTGCCATCTCCGCTTACCCTCAGCGTCTTATCTCCTGGCCGTTGTAATTCTTCCTCTGTCATATTTCAAAACCCCTCTTAGCTCTCTCATGCCTGACCCGGGGCCTTTTATCTGGGGCCATTTTTCTCCCCGCAACTTGACCCTTTTTAAAAAGCATAAAAAGGAATCCCTTCCCCTTTCTGCTATCTCCCTTCCCTCCCTCAGACATACTTTCCAAGTTTTCTCAGATAGGCAGCTCAGAGCTGGGCTTTCGTCCCTGGAGCAATTGACCCGGGGCCAGAATTCTCCTGGCTCCCTCAGATCCGATTGCCTGCTTTGTTTCAAGCTATTTGGAATCCCCCCCCCAATGAAGGCAGGCCAGGGGCTTTTCTGATGCCACATTTGAAGGCATATGATTTGTCTTCATCTATTGGACTGTTGGAAAATGCTTTGCTAGTCTTGTATGAAACCATCACTGGTAAGCATAGCTTGCATGATTCTTTGGATCTTCCGAAATACTACATTTTAAGCTCAGTAAGGCATGTTCATGACTTATTATTTTCCTGGGTTGACATGCCAGTAGTATTTTGCACATGTCCATTATTGCCCACTTTAGGAACATAGGAAGCTGCCTTAGGCTGAGCCACGTTTGCTCCATCTAGCAATCTAGCTCAATATTAGCAGTAGCCCTGCAGGATTTCATACAGATGCTCTACTCCTGAGCTATGACCCTTCCCCAAACTTTCCTGACAGCATGGGGCTTCCCTTTTGCTTTTAGCTTGTATCTACAACCAAAGCTGTCCCCAGTTCAACAAGGTGCAAAGTCTTACCTTCCAGCATTTATGCCAGATTACATCTGGCGACTAGTTCACATTATGTGAAAGAGCTTCCGTCACAGAATATATGCAGGTTTTGTTTTTCCTGACTCTTTAAAAGTACAAGATTCTTTGAATGATGGCTAGATGGGGACCTTCTGCAGAGCCATGTCTCTGACCCCCAAGTTGTGCTTTCTCATCTCTCAGCATTCACACAGAGATGCCTGTATCCAAGAACACACGCTCCATGTTGCCTGGGGCCTGGAATACATTGTAGTAAGATACACTGCTCTTGGTACTGGATAGGACGGTGTCACTATAGAACATTCCTCCAGGACTACATCTTGTGTGCTGGAACTGCGGGAAGTTGTACATGCCTTTATTTGATCATCCCTTTTGTAGCTTGCTCTTTTCTTCCAAAGAGTGGTTTTACTGAATGAATAAAAAAAAATAATGTTTTAAAATAGTAAACTCGTAAATAATTCAAACAATTCAAGTTGTGTTAATACTTAAGTATTAATCCAGAATTGAATGTGCAGTCCATACAGTGTGCATTGCAGTTTTTGTTAGGCCTCCACTTTGGGGGTCTAATCCTGCCCGCTGGTTGGTTTAATCTGGCGCTTTTCACTTCATCAAATCTGGCCCTCTTTGAAAAAAGTTTGGACACCACTGTCTTAGAGGAACAGCATCCCTGAGCATTGTGGGCAGAGTCATTTCCCCAAATCCTCTCTTCCTGCCTTGTTTGCATTCCTGAGGAGGTTTGATGTAACAGTGACTGTTGCACCAGGCTCTGAGAGACCAAGATTCAAATCCCCCCACTCAGTCATTTAGTTTAATATTACGTCAAGATGCCACCTTTCCTCCAAGGAGCTCAAGGTGGTACCCCATTTTAACCTCTGAACAACCCTGTGAGGTAGGCAAGGTTGGGAGGAAGTGACTAGCCTGAAGTCACCCAGTGAGCTCTGTGGCTGAGTGGGGATTCGAACCCTAGTCCAACACTCTGACCAACACACCACACTGCCATGATGTGCTCTGAGTGACTCTGGCCCAGTCACTCTTTCTGAGCTACTTCACCCCTGTCCCTCTCACAGATCTACAATCCTCAGTGAAGAGGGGTAAGTTGTCAAAGCATTATGGGAACTGTACCTCTGTGACAGGGAAAGTGGTACCATAGTGTTTTAAATGTATGGTGTGACCTAAGCTGCTAGAATTTGTTGAATCTGAGATAGGAGGCAAAATGTATGGGCATGCTATTCTCTTCCATTTTTTTCTCAGAAACTGTGCCCTCCCTTTGTTCTCTGTGTGTCTGCCTCTCTTTGTGCACCCACCTCAGTGGGTTTTTCCAGGTTGTTGGTTGGGGTCACTGGCTTGTTTGGGCAAGCTGTTTTTCAGCCTCCCTGGGCAAGTTGTTTTTCAGCTTATCCACACTTACCTTTTGCACCATTCTTCCCAGGTACAGCTCTGCGCTTAAAAGCTCTGTGTCTGAAAGTAGGGGGGGGGTTGCCCCTGAACCTTCCCCATTAAAAGCTGCTCTTTAGCACCCAATCGGAGCAACAACTCAGGTTTTCTGCCAATTGATAGTTGCTCTAATTGGATGCTAAATCGTGGGGGTTTTTGTGGGGAAAGCTCAGGAGCAAAAAAAAGTGGGGGGGGGCAAGCAGACATGGAGCTTTAAAGCATGGATCATGCCTGGAAAGAGCAGAGGAATGGTAAGGGGATAAGCCCTCTATCCCATCTGTGAAAGGGATACATGTTTTCTGGGTGCTTAATTCCTTTCCCATATCCCTCTATATTATTTTTGCACTAGGTTGTCGTCAGGCTTCTTTGCACTGGCTTCACCACATTTGCATAGAGGCCAGTGTGGCTACTTCATTGGCTCTCAACCTGCATGCCTAGCTCCTCCTACTCTGTGTGCCTATTCAACTTCTGCATGCCTATGCATGCATCACCTTATTCTCAACTGTTGGGCAGGTGTGCGAGAATAATGCACGTGAGTTCACTACAGTGGTACTTGGGTTAAGAACTTAATTCGTTCCAGAGGTCCATTCTTAACCTGAAACGGTTCTTAACCTGAGGCTTGCTTTTGCTAATGGGGCCTCCTGCTGCCGCTGCGCTGCTGGTGCACAATTTCTGTTCTTAT